AATTAAATAGTGAGCATTCCATACCCTGTGCCCACCAGACATAATCCTTCCTGGCACCAGCCCTCCACGTCCGTCTGTGCCATTGTGTGCACTTTAGCAGGCTGCACCTTTATCCATAACCAACCTCACCAACTGAGCTCTTCAGAGTCTTCTTTACACTTCTTGCTTTTAGGTTGCAAAGAAAACATGCACAAGGCTTCCACAGAGCGGTATGGCGTGTCCTCGCTTTGTATCTTGCGGAATTATAAAAATCCCATCAGATTGCGTACGTTCAGGGCCCATCGGGATAACCCGCACATGTTGACATGCTTTGTTAACGCAGCTAGAATTTTATCTAATGAATGCCAATTAAATCAGCACATGTAAAGACCAAAATGTTGCCTTTGTTACTTTTTTAATGTAGTTAACTTGCATTTAAAAAAATGTTATTTTATAAACTGCTGTATTTACTGGAAACATATCAATTTAAAAGTTTGTTGTTTTTTCCACTTTCAACACTCTAGGCTCATCACTTAAAATCTAAGAAAACAGACCAGCAGTTTCTATAGTTTGATTTCTTTATGAAAGAAATTTTACACATTAGATAATCAATATACCAGCTAGAAGAAAAAAACCAAAGCTTAAGACTTTAACATGTCTACACCATGAAAATATGAATTTTCAAAGTAAATTATATTATTTGATAGCAGGGTCATCACGCCTGGTCTTTAGATCCAGCAAAGCACTTAGGCAAACCGCAGGTTCCCGATTCGCTGGCGCAGCGGCCTTCTTTATGCCTCTGCAGCAGCCTGGCCCGTTCGTGCCGGGACTGCAGCGGACCAGGCAGAGGCCCCGCCTGTGCCCGCGGAGCCCAGAGCAGGCGGGCGCGCTCTCCCACGCGGGCGCACCTGTGCAGCTTTGTGGTCACTGCCACGAGCACTCAGCTCCGCCTTCACGCCCCGCAGCAGAGACAGTGCAACGCTAGGATGGGCTCGGCGTGTCCGGTAACGTTTTATTTCTGGACACTGAAACCTGAATTTCATACGATTTGCATGCGCTGTGAAATACTAGTTTCCTCCTAATTCTCAACCATTTAAAAATGCGCAGCCCATGTTTAGCTCACAGGCCACCCAAAGGGGCCACGGGCTGCACTGGGCTGGCCAGCCATCGCCTGCCCACTCCCTCGCGAGAGGCGACGGGCGAGGAAACGGCAGGGCAGAGGCGCCGCGCCCTGGAGAGAAGCCACCGGCGTCACGGAGACAGGCAGGCCGGGCAGGAGGGGACAGGCTGCTGCTTCACGGGGACTGTCGGGGAAGCAGGGACGGGAGCCCGGCGCCGCTGGAGGAGCCCGCCGGGCGGAGAGGGGAATGCAGGGGCCCCAGGCCAGCGCACGGCATGTGGCCTGGCTCCCACTGAGGTATGACGCTGGCACAGGGACACGGCAGAGGCACTTAGGGGAACCGCTTTGCCTGAAGTGACAGAAGCGCTTTGGACAAACAGGATGGAGGGTGTCACAGAAAGAGGAATGAGTCTTGGCTTAAAAGCCCTGCGTTGGCCGTTTCCTGAGATGGGGAGGACTGTTCTGTTTCTTCGTCGGCTAAGTGTCACCAGCACCTGCTCCGCTCCGACGCAGTGAAGAGGGGATGAAACAGTGAACTGAGCCGCGTGGCCCAGTGCCTGGCGTGGGGGAACACTCGGGAAATGGTGACTCTTTCTGGACCCACTGTGCATCTGCATACGGCCCAACAGAGCTCACAGCAAGTGCTGACCTATATCCAGGATGCAATTCTCAGAAGCATTTTGCTGTTGTTAACCCTCGCCCGAGGATATTTCTCCCATTGCCTTTTCAGAGAGTGGAGGGGGGAGAGGGAATACATCGAGGAGAGACGCACATCCACCCGCTGCCTCCCCCATGTGCCCCGACTGAGGGTGAGGAGGACACCTGGAAACTCAGGTAAGTGCCCTTGGCCAGGAACCGAACCCCGGACCCTGCGGAATGCGAGCCAGCGCTCTAACCACTGAGCACACCGGCCCGGCAGAAGCACCTCATTTAAGGAAGCTCATTCTCCGTGCCCAGCTCATTTTGGAGCCTGTCTACGCTGAAAGTTGGAGTCGATACTGTACAATTCATGTGCCTGTAGAACTTTGATTTCCCTGGTTGCATAAGGAAGGTTGCTAACACGCCAATACCAGCTCCTCTCTCCTGTACCCTGAGTATTTCGCACTCTGGCTGTAGGAATGAGGGAAAGAAGACATCTCAGCTGGACGCAAAGACAAGCAGAATTTTAGGAGAGAGAGGAGATGACACAGGAGCGATGGGGCGTGGAGACGCCGGGCCTAGTGGACGAGCANTGATTTCCCTGGTTGCATAAGGAAGGTTGCTAACACGCCAATACCAGCTCCTCTCTCCTGTACCCTGAGTATTTCGCACTCTGGCTGTAGGAATGAGGGAAAGAAGACATCTCAGCTGGACGCAAAGACAAGCAGAATTTTAGGAGAGAGAGGAGATGACACAGGAGCGATGGGGCGTGGAGACGCTTGGCCTAGTGGGCGAGCGGAAGTGAAGGTCCATCCCCAAATGCTTATACTATGTATTTTCTGCCTGTTTCCAATGGGGTCCATTAGTGGGCTCTCACCAGAGAAGAACTTGGGCAGGGGGTGACGCGGGCGGCACAGAGGCAGATATAAGGCAAATGAAGGTGAGAGCGGTGAGCAGCAGGAGCTCAGGGAAGCCAGCTTCCTGCGCACAGCCTCGGCCTGTTCACCGGAATCGCGTCAGCTTTCTACAGTGCGGTTTCCTAGCCCGTCTCGGGCTGGAGATGCCAGAACATCCTGGCGTGGGGCTCAAAGCAGAGCACCTTTAACAAGTTCCCATGCTGATTCTTCTGTAGCCACTGAAACCAGCAAGTCATTATAACATTGTAGAAAAAGAAGCGAGGATGGCCCCAGGTGGCCGCCCGGGACACAGAGAGAGAGGGACCCACCCATCAGAGGGCCACTGAGGACAATACCAGAAGGACCTGGCCCTTAGAACCTGAGGTGGACAGAGGCGCTAGAGAAATCCCCTGTTGTTTAAACTCCTAAATCCTACCTCTAGCTGTCCAAGGTGAAATGCTGGAAACATGCAGACACTTGGTAGAAACCCTGAAGATCGAACTGCAGTAAGAGAATCAGGCAGGACACTTGCAAAGAGCTCCTGGAAAATGCCCTCTTCTCTAGAGCAGAACTTTTCACTCTCCGCACTCCTGACATCGGGACCAGATGACTCTGTATGGGGGCTCATCTGGGCATTATTTNCTGTTATGGGGGCTTATCTGGGCATTATTCGGGGTGTTCAGCAGCAAGAGGCACATATCATCCCCCTTCCCAACATGTGACAACTCAAAAAGTCCTCAGACGTTGTCAAATATCCCCTTGAAGGCAAAACTGTCCCTGGATTAGAACTACTGCTCTAAAGACATAGCTCTTTACCCTTAGTAAATGTTATAAACATCACAAAATTTAAAAATCTGAAAGTTCTTAAAATTAAATATGATTTACTTCTATTTTCAAACAACAAAAAGCCCTGGCACATGGCTGGCTTTGGAGCTGCGAGGACATCGTGCACCTGGGCGGAGCCTGAACACGGCCCTGAGACTGCAGCAGGACAGGATTAGGGATGGAAAGGGGAGGTGGGTGACAGAGCCAGGGTCATATCTTCCCACAAGAAGACACGCTGCCCCCTCTCCGGGGACCTGGAGAACTACACAGGCAGGATAAACCCAATGCCCACCTTTTACACTCAGGGAAGACCAGGCGGCTGGTTAGGGAACCGTCCCCTCACATTCTCAGATCTCCACCTAAGGCTGTTCATCTCTCAGGTTACCTGCTCACTCTTTTCACATCTGCATTTCAATGGAAAATCGAATTCTGACTGATGGCTTACTGCAGACGATCTTACTTTTTAGCCCTTCCATGTTTGGATGCTGCCGTGCATGAACTGTCCAAGGAGAATGGAAACTATCTTCTTACATAGTTAATACCCCTCCTCCAGGGAGGCCAGTGCCCTCCCTTCACAGTATTGCTGTCTCGCCTGCGGGGTAAGGTCAGCATTGATTTTAAGAAAAAAGATAGCTTCTGCGGGCACCACGCTCTGCACAGAAGCCAGGCACGGCTCCACAGATGAATTTACTGTATCTGCATAAGATCCATAAAAGACATAAAATGTTTTATGCAGGGACTTGGATTAATAAAGGAAACAAAGTTTTATGACTTGGAGATTATTCTCAGGTGGCATATCACTAAAAAAAAGCAGCTAAGTATCATGAGAGCTTAGGGAACTGTATTATGGTTCTACAACTTTCCAAAGTGCCAAATGAAATGTCACTTCCTCTGAGGATTTAGCTAGAGCAAACTCATATCCCCAGCACACAGAGCCAAAGTGCCCCTAAAGGCTTGCTTCCTGCAAATGCCCTCTCCAGCTGCATATAAATAGACAGGATGCTGCAGCAAGAGGCTACTTAGAAACATCCTCTTCTGGAACATAGTTAGTTGTCTTGTGCCCGTGGTCTTGTTTCATATTCATATGTAAAAATCAATACAAGTGTAATCTTCAGAAGTGTTATTTCTTAGTGTACAAGAAATACAATGAAAGAAAATTCTATCATTGACGGATGTAAGACCCTAGGTCGTTGGTAACTCCAAAACTTTTATTTAGGAAGCGGTGAAGGAAAATGGCTGGAAGGGCCAACGGGAAAGGACAGTGGAGCTGCTTTAAGGCGGGGTTTGCTTAGCAAGCACCAGGGTTACCCAGCGTGGGAGTGAACCGGGGCTGGCCTAGAGGAGGGGCCTGCAGAAATAACCTCCTTCCTCCACCACCGACTCCCTGAACTCCCACTGCCCTGGGCATAAAACTTTACATCAGGGTACTCGTCCTAGTCACTGTTCAGTATAACCCGGCACAGAGAGTGGTGCTGGGAAGGGACGTTTCAGAAAGACCAAAGTGACAGACCGGGTGGCAGTGCCCGCGCAAGTCTGCCCATCTAAAGTAGCACAGTGTTCTTGGCGGCCGGGCCAAACGAGGGGACCACGGTCAGCGGGGCTGCGGTTGCTTTGTCTCTACTTGCCTTTGTGGTTTTGACTTTGCTGCCACTGCTACAGGACCAACCTGAGTTATCGGGCAGCACCTTACAGTCCTCTCCTTCCAAGCAGGGATCCATGTGACACCACCATTTCTGAATCACGATGGAAGCTGGAAAACAAAGGCCAAATAATGCTGGTGACACCGTTTCTTCCTCCGGATGTGGACAACATAGAGCTAACACAGATGCCGACACTGGCCTCACCGACTACAGTGCGGCTAGGGAGACCTCGAGCTTCAGGGGGGCCTGACCTGGCTTGAACTCGGCCGGGCTACTTTTTGCAGATGACCCTGGGCTCATTATTTTACTCCTCTCCACCTCAGTTTCTTCATCTGTAAAATGGGGGCAAAAACAGAACCTCACCACAGTCTTGGCGGACCGTGGGACAGTCACGTTCTCAAAATGTTAGCTATGGCTGTGGCCCTCACCTTTGGCTGGAGGTGATATGTCGATAGTGCCAAGTCGTGGTGTTTATGTTTAATGCTGTTTGTGGTCAATAGCAAAGACTAACAGCGTCAGCGCCTACGGCACACGTGGTGCATCTCCGCACCCTCTGCAGCAGCGCTGAGCACCGCAGGACGGGAGGGCCCGACCTCCCTCCCGGGCCCGTGGCCCAGACCAGCCAGCTCGCCTGGACGCGCCTCCTCACCAGGCCTGCAGCGCCGCCCGAGAAAACGACCTGTGTCTTAAGCCCATGAAGCAGAAACCAGCACCCCAGTTCTCTGGGTTTGGAAGCAGAAGAGCAGTGAGGAGAGCACCATGAACTTGGCTAGTTATTCCCACAGATTCAAACGACAAAAAGGATTGTGACTGGTTTTTACAGTGAGTCCAGCCAATAGGCTGGTACAAGGCAGCACGCTGGGGCCGGGGGGCTGGAGGGTGGGGGAGAAATGGGGAGGGTCTTAGCCCTGTTTTTCCTGTTGAAACAGCAACGCTGGTAGAAAACATCCACTGTTGGGTTTCACTCAAACTACTACTGCCCGAGAAGTCGGAAATTCAAGTTCAAGTAAATCTTTATAAGTCGTAACAGGTACTTTTTCTTCAGGTCTGGGCATGCTGCTAATTGGCTTCCTTGCATTTTCTAATTTCAATGTCACTGCAACTCTGAGGTTAAAAATTATTTTCTCGCATTCTACAAAGAAGAGAACACCAAGGCCCGGAGGCATTAAGTGACTTGTCCAAAGTCACATAGTTTGAAAAAAGTCAAGCCGCATGGCATGGAGGCAATCTGACCCTGCAGCTTGTGCTCCAACCTTGAAACACAGGTGGGCAAAAGTCAGTCTCCAGTTGTGAGTACGTGAAACAGAGTTGATTCCTGTGTTATTATTTATTAATTATTGTAATTTTCCATATGAACAACTGTATGCCTACTTTTGCCCACCCCTGGATATGGCTGCTCCCTCACACCAGGGGTCACTAGAAGAAACAGTCCTTGCATAGAATCAGGGACAAAAGCAGGACACACAGCCAGTGCATGCGGACTCCTCCCCACCAGGCAAATGTCTGTGGCTTGATGAGGGCACAGGACAGCTTCACTGTCACCGATGTGGCCAGACACGTCTGCCCTGATGCAGAAAAGTGGCCACCGGTCCCGATTCTGGCCAAATCCTGAGATCCTGTCCCATTCATCCCCTCGAAACCGATAGCCTGAGGAAGGCAGTCTCGTGGTCTAGGGTAACCACCTGCTATCTGAATCAGAAGCGCCAGCACTGAGAAAGGAATGTCGCTAAATAATGGGGTATTTACGGCGTCAAAGACACGGCCACTGGACATGAGTGATGGACACCATGGGGCGAAGCCTGAGAATGTTTATTCTTTTCAGCCCCAAAGATCACAATAATCTCATCTTCAAACTAGATGGAGTTTTGTCATTTTCAAAGCACTTTTCCTACCACTCCTCTTTCGGTCGTCCCTACGACGTTCAGAAGCAGGAAGTGGAAGCAGAAGCTTCCAGAAGTAAAGAGCAGAGGTCTCCGTAAAGTGAGGAAATGGGAGAGGAGCTCCTGGGTTGCATTGCCCTCTCTCCACCAGGGCTGTGCCCTGGCGCATTTTGCGGCGCTTTAGGCGAGTGAGCCTCCTAGGGCCTGAGCGTGTCTGCAGCGCTGACCGCCCCGTCACTCTTTTCTGAAAGCCCGGGTGGGTCCCAAGCGGCTGTAAAGACAAGTAAGAGAGAGTCCTTGGCCCTCAACTTAAAACACCATCCGCAGGACTGGAGAAGTTTTACAAATGTTGACAGAGCTTAGTTATATTTACACAGAGTTAAAGCTGAATGTAAAATACTTTTTTTATCTTTAAAACTGTTCCCTAGACACTTGCTTTCACTTGGCGGGAGGGGGGGGGTGGACTANTTTATCTTTAAAACTGTTCCCTAGACACTTGCTTTCACTTGGCGGGAGGGGGGGGGGACTATATGCCCTTTAGAGGAATCAGAGCCACGTGAGAGAGTCAGAGGAGCCCTGACAGACAGATGGTCAGTGACCTGTCCTCCTGGGGGCAGGAGGAGCAGTGGGACAGCGAGTGGCCCACTGGAAGCCAGCAGACCATGAGGCCCAAGAGAGTGGTCAGCAAGGACGCACCAGGCACTCGGCTGAGGAGAACGGTCTAGAAAGCCATCTCCAGGGGCTCTTGAGGCCAGCTTCAGATTAGACTTGACTCTCTAAGCAGGAGGGAGCCATGGAAAGTCTGGGAGCAAGGCAGTACAGCAAGCCAGGGACACCTGTGCACCGAGAAGAGCCCGCCTGGCAGGGGGTCGGACAGGGGAGTGGGCGGAAAGGAGGCTGAAAGGGGCCGGTGGAGGTGTGAGTCTGAGAAGGGTTACAGCCGGGGATCGAAGGGTGGGGGCAGAAAGGAGTCCGAGAGGTGGGAGTGAGGTGAGAAATCGGGAGGGAATCCCATTATCTCAGCCGTACAGCAGAGAATATCAGTGCTTCCCCACGGGCTCACAGGGGCCAGGATATTTCTGATGCCAAACCCTAGAAAAGGAGCTTGTGGGGAAAAAAATGATGAATTCGGGCCTTCATCGCAGAAGAAATAGGCCAGTTCTTAACTACAGAGAAGAATATTGTTTGCCTAGTATTCCATTTAAAGATGTACATTGAATTTATTTAAATAAATAAAAGGAAATATATACCATCAAGCTCTTGCGAAATTATTCACCAGTTTTCTTTCACTTAATTGGAAAATATTACGTGACTTTCCAAAGACAGATTCACATGAGCCTCCTTAAAAAAAGCAAGCTGCCCTGGATTCAAAATACTTCTTAGAAATTCTTTCAAGTCTTATAGAAGGACATGGGTGAGGTGCCCCTAGAAGTACTTTATCCAAGGCAGAGCTTCACTGTGAAGGACTTGATAGCAAATGTCTTTCAGAAGAGACAGGCATAATATGAGCCACCACAGTAGCCACAATAAAAGTTGCAAATTCCTTTATGAGTTAAAGGTTGACGAAGGACCTCACAGTTAGGTGACAACCAACCAAGAGTCTGACCTGGGGCTGAAGAAGGTGATTGAACAGCCTGGTGTTGAAGTTCTGAGCGCACACTGAGCAGGGCCTGAGCTGAGGCAAAGGGCCAATAAGTCCTTATTGTGCGAGTCCATCCTGCGCCTTGTTAGATGTTTAGCAGCCTGGCCTCCACCCAGTAGATGGCAGTAGCACCCTCTACCCCACGGTAACAACTCAAAGTATCTCTAGACACTGTCAGATATCAGCCCTGGTTGAGAAACATCATTTATGATTAAGTAGATATACTCAGCCCAAAACAAGAGGCTGAGCTAGTTCATTAGACCTCATTAAACTCTGGCCCATGAAAATACTCCTGATCCATGGTAGACACCATGCCCTGCCAGCCCACTGTCTTCCTCTGTGCTCCCCCCCACACACACACCGTGGGCAGTCACTTGGGCCTGTCAGGCTGGCAAGACGACCTGTCAAACTTGGGACACACTTCTCCTTCCCAGAAATCCTGGGCTCTCTTATGAACTCAGTTCACAGCGCTCAGTCCCCTTCTTATGGCACACCCTGCTCCATCTCATCTAGATCAGATTCCCAGAGGCAGGAATTAAGCCCTAAACTGTGATTTTATCCAAGGCCTCAAATACCCACTGCTCTGTTTACACCTCCAGCCTGGTCTGCTGCCATTTCCAAGCCAGACTGAGCTACTTCCAGATCCCAAGGCTGCCCCATTCAGTCCCTCCTACCTGGTAAAGCAGCACTGCTGCTTCCCATGGGCGCCGCCCCCGGCCCCTTCTCTGCCCTGCCCAGAGCCCTTCACTTACTAGAACTTAATTGTCCATCTTTCCAAGTAAAGTGCAGGTTTCTTGAAAGCAGGACCCAAGTCTAATTACCATCCTTCCCCCAGCATCCCGGACACATCAGGCACAAAGGTACAAAACTATAAATTGATGAATGAACCCACATATGCAGGACACATTCTTCCAGCTCACAAAGTGCTTTTGCAAAGTGCACCTGCTGTCATTCACCTGATGACCAGAGAAAACCCAGACAACGGCTTCATGGGTCAGTGGCACGGACACCACACCCAGCAAGAAAACCTTGAGAAATCACCTCTGTAAGACAGACCCTGGATCTCGTCACATGTTGGAGCCATGGACGTTGTCTCCAGTACGAACAGTAGCTCTCATCCCTGACTAAGTGTATTCCGACATCTGAACAAAGAAATTGAGGTATCATTAAAAGAAAAAACTTTAAAAAGTAACTGCCTCCCATTCCTAAGCCTGTGTCTTATTAATCCATTTTAAACTCACTGTTTAGACAGCATTCCCTTTGACAGAATAAGTTAAGCTTCATTGTACTACTCATTTATCTCATTTTATCACATATCTCATCTTAGCATTACCTCCACGGAGCTGTATTTTGATAAATGTGTAGAAAGCAGTTCCCACCACCTAACAGCCTTGTCTATGCCAGAAGATTCAGAAGGAAAACGCTGGCCAGCTGAACAGTGGCCTGTTTTAGGACCCAAGCAAGCACAGCCTCAATCAAATAACTCCCCAGCCCTTCTCCCAAATTCCAAATGTGTATTAAAGACACATCTCAATAATTCAGGGAGATTCATAAGTTAATTTTAACAAAAAAGCTCCATGGGGGAAACAGCTAATTTCTCTCCCTGTTTAACTAATAAAAGCTATAACTTTTGTGGAAAAGCAGTGAAAACACCAGATAAGTATCTGTGGTGTGGATTAATGAAAATGCATGAGGATGCTCCCATTTCCATGCCAACATTAATTAGCACCGGCTCCGATGCGTTTTCACCTTTGTTTTAATTTAAATGTAAATTGAAATGAATTTTATATTCCAGATCCTCTCTATTCTTATTGACAAATAAGATAAGAGGAACATATCAGCAGAGACTAGGTCTTTCCACAAGCCAATTAGCAGCATGATACTGCATAATTATTATGGGATAAAGATTAAGCAGGTAAAGCTAAAAAGCCCTAACGGAAACATATTCAGATAAGGACTTGAAGATCAGGAGTTGTGAAAACAGATATATATCCTAACTAAAGCCTGAACCACAACTTCCTGTACCTCCCCAGTGACTCTGATCCAATAAACATGTATTGTACACAACTGTTTGCCAAGCAATGGTAGGTGCAGGGGACACAAACACAAAGACAAAATTATGATCCCATCTTTCAGACTTTGGGTATTCTCTGGCCACAAATGTTGCTCTAAAGTTATATATTTACATAAAACGTACTCCCTACTGTCCAATAAGAGCACATCTCATCACAAGTTCCCATTTAAATTTTGTACTGGTCACATCTCAAATGCTCAGTTCGAACCAGTCACACTTCAAATAATCAACAACCACATGCGGTTAGTCACTGCCAAGCCTACTGGGCACGTCCGCATTATGACCCATGAATGGAGAGATACAGAAGCTCTACTGCATAGACTCGGCCAGACACCAAATAAACGGTCCCCATCACCTACCGATCGTATGACACTAGGGAATCATTTAGTTGGCCTGTGAATCTGTTGTTTTGCCACAGACACAACCAAAATGTCCCTCCTGTAGAAGAAAGGCAAGCGGGTTGGGTTAAGAAGTACCCAATGCGATACCATTTGTGTACAACACACATTCATATCAAAAGCCACCACATTTTCTACAAATCTATCTTAAACACAAATATACAGAAAAATATATTGACCAAACAGATAAATGTAGCAACCCCTAGGGTGACGGCCAAAAGGGATTTTCCCCAAATACAAAGCAAGCTCATTTAGGGGAGGTATTAAGGTTTCCTTCACTAAGAGAAAGATGCTAATAGTAATTGCGTCCTACTCATACCGTCCAGGGACCAGTGCAAGTACTCCGAGTACCCCTGCCAGGCGGCTCCGCTGGCTGGAGCACCGGCCCGGACACCAAAAGGCGGTGGGTCTGATTCCCGATCAGGGCACATGCCCAGGCTGCAGGCTCGACCCCCAGTCAGGGCGTGTACAGGAGGAAACAGATCGATGTTTCCCTCACACGGATGTCTCTCTTTCACACCCTCTCCCCTTCCTCTCTCTCTAAAGTCAACATCCTTGAGCGAGGATTTTTTTAAAAAGCACTTTGACTATTATAAAACATGGTTTAGATATATAAGACTTGATATCCAAAGAGTCCAGGCTAAGCAGAGAGTCTAAATATAGTTTATGTCATGATTCATTAGTTCCTGTAGAAGTGTAAAAATCTACAGAGGCAAGCAAACACGGTTGTTACCTTCAGAAAATAATCTGTGACTGGGAAAGATGAATCAGTTCTCAGCTGGGTTAAATCTCATGCGAGCACCAGCAATGAGGGGAGACGAAACAAGTGACCCAGTTCCTGTCCCCCAGCAACGACAGACTAACGGGGAGGCACACATTCAACAAGCTTTACAACAAATGGGATGCATGTCATACTCTAGAAGCAGAGGGAGATACAGAACATACAGGAGATCTGAAAGGAAAGCAGGAATTAAGTAGACAAAGTGTATGTTGTGGGGAAGAGGGCAATGATTGGGCCATTGATGTGCTGAGATGAAGGGAATGGCATGGGCTCCAGCGGGGAAGGGGTAGACTCGAAACAGTCATTATGCAGGGCCTCACAAACCATGAAGACTTTAGATTTTATTTCTCAAACAGAAGTTGCTGAACTATGGTTTCAAGATGACAGTGACATGATCAGTTCTGTTTCTATAGAAGCATCTTTCTTGCTAGAGGGTGGGAAAGGGAAATCTGGGAGCAGCAAGCTCAGCAAGATGCAGTGCTGGCCCCTCGACAGGGGGATAACAGTGGGTAGAGAAAAGTGGACAACTGGAGAGAGAGCAAAGAGACAGATGGCTGTGACTTGGCTTCGACTGATGGAGAAAATATATAATACACTGTCCCATTTGGTGGTACAGGAACTTAGGAAATTTGTTTAAAATGCATTTTTTAATGTTAAAGATATTTTTTTTTTACTGGTACACAATCCTTTACCTATAATCCCCAAATCCAAAGAGCTCTGAAAATTCAAAGGAGTTCTGTAGGACGTCAGCAAAACCTGCCTTGAATTAACATGAGGTTCCATCCTGCCTACCCCCTTCTGCATGAATATTCATCTACCTCACTGTAGAAATATTAATATCTGTGATTATGGGGTGCAACTGGAGAGGACAGAGGGTTTGTTAGGTAACAGGTGGTACATGCACTGTTACCTTCATAAAATCTGACAAAGTCTGAATTCGGCAACACATCTGGCCCCCAGGGTTTCCGAAAAGGAAATGCAGATGGGAGGTTTCCCACATTCACTCTCCAGCATAGAGCGACTGAGGCTCTGCTGATACAACCCCACTGCGATCACACAGCCCATAAAGCTGTGCAGGGGGAGAGAGGTGAGGTGCGGAGTCAGCTATTATATTCTATTGTGCAATAGGACCTGCAGTTAAGGATGTCTGTGAGTGTGAGAGTGTGTGTGTGTGTGTGTGTGTGTGAATGAGTGTGTGAGTATATGTGTCTGTGAGTCTGAGTGTATATGAGTGTGTGTAAGTATGTGTAAGAGAGTGAGTGTGTGGGGGGGGTGAGTGTGTGTGTGAGTATATATGAGTGTGTGTAAGTATGTGTGAGTGTGTGTGTGTGTGAGTGCATGTGTGTGTATGTATATGAGTATGTGTGTGTGAGTGCATGTGTGAGTGCATGTGTGTGCGTATGTGAGTGTGTATGTATGTGTGAGTGTGTGTGAGTACGTGTGTGTGTGTGAGTACATGTGTGTGTTTGTGTGAGTGTGTGAGTGCATGTGTGTGTGTGTGTGTTTGTGTGCTTTAACTGTCAACCTTTAGACATGCAACAGATAAGACTGGAAGAGCTTGTTTTCAGGGAGGTCTCATGCCACTGTAGAGAAACTGCTACAAGGCTTAACCTCACATATCTGTTCTCCTGGGGACTAATATTTGCTTCTAACAAGGTGTCTGCTAGTAAAAGACAGGGCCTCCACCTACAACCTTCAACATTCGCTCTTTTTTTAAGCATTGGCATAGTGCTCTGCTAGAAAAATTAGAAACAACAAATAATACATGATCCCAAACTATTGTCTGAGAAGTTGCACCAAAAAGATGTTTTTTGATGTGTGGTTTATAATAATAAACCAGAAATTAAGAAAATATTTGTCTATAACATTAAACATGAGAAATCAGGCTGAGTCCAGAGTTTGAGAGCAGGAAGAAGAGCGCATCTAAGGAAGCAAATGCTCTGATGGGTGAGATCTAGAGGGACAGCTGGCCCAGAAGAAATCAAAGCACATCTTCCTGACTGCCCAGTAAAGGAACCCCCATGGGTACCTCTTAAGAGACATCAGTAGTAACTTACCTTACTCATTATGAAATTCATGGAGTTATATTTATGTTCACTTTTGGAATGACAGTGATCTAAAATAAGCCTAGTTTTCTTTGCATTGCAAAGACAGTAAAGTTGGGAAATTCCTGGCAGCTGTGAGTCCTTGTGCGACATTAGAGAAACTGACCAGAAAGGTCTTACCTTCAACACAAGAAGGCTGAGTCCGAGTGGTGCCAGCAACCTGCCCCGGGAAGCAAGAGCACTTGACTGTTCGCGATCGCTCTTCTATGTGGTTTTTGTTACAGCACCTGTGCACAGCAACCACCTCACAGGTCCCCTGCTTGACGTGGTGCTGACCTGGCAGGCGATGGGGGAGAGAAACAGACCCAGTGCTGTTATGAGGAAATGACCACCAAGGACATAAATGATGCCATGGCTACATTTTCCAACTTCTGTGCTGCTTAACCTTTGAAGCTTTTTATTTTGACATAATTTCAAACGTATATAAAGGTGTCAAAGAAGGGAGGCTGGAAGATCCTGGGCTCACCTCCGCCCACCCACACACAAAAACTACAACTAAATACAAAGCACCCATCCCTGAGAACCACCTCTAGACCTGCGGAACAGATTCTCTACAACTGAGAACATAAAGAAAAAGCCACATCTTGATGGGTAAGGGGCACTGGAGAGGCATTCCCCAATGGAGGGATATCACAACCCCGGAGGCCCCCTTGAGGGGTGAGGCATCTGGCCCACCTGGGGCTCCCCAGCTTGGGGACCTGCTCCAGGAAGAGGTGCCCCTAACATCTGGTTGTGAGAACCAGCCAGGCTTCTGTCCCAGAAACTGAGGGGCTCTGGAAAAGAGAGTGTCCCCCCTTCCAGGGCCTGTGCACAAATTCACTCGCTCGGAACCAAAGCACAGGGACAGCACTGTGAGGGGCACCTGGGTCATATGTGAAAGAGAGGTATCAGCTAACTTTCGGGTGCCTGCCGGGGGGGGGCCTCTGGGAATGGAGGGGATAGCCAGTGCCTTGCTTTCCTCGTTTGCTCTGTTTGCTCTCCTCTCAGCCTGCCCAAGCTGGTGGCGCCAGACCTGACACTCTTCATTAAGCTGCTCCCCACTCCACCCACCCTGCATTCCCCTGAGGACCCACCCAGTCCAACCACCTTCCAGAGTGGTGCTCTGCTCCTGCCCCAGAACCCAGGGCCAGCCCAGTGGGCCTCCAAAGTGGGGTCCTGCCCACCAGCAGCTAGAGGATGGCCCTGGCAGACTTTTAAAACAGTACACTGTCCCCCATCACTGGTGGGTGGCCAAAAGCATCCCTAAAGTGGGGCTGTGGGGCCAGACCCTGCACACCTATGTACCCACAGCAGTAGAGACCAAGCCTCGCAACATCCAGGAGGCCTGCCCTACACACCAGCAGACCAGCGGCCGTGGCAGTGGGCTTTACAGGCAGCCAGGCCAGAGGCCAGCCCAACCCCCCAGCGCACCCCCAGCAGGCCAGACCTCACAGACAAAGGAGCTGGGGGCCAGCCCCACCCAACAGAGAGTCCTCAACAGTTGTAGTTCAACCACAACACAAGTCCACACAGAGCCCACACAGGGGACGCCCCTGGAAAACCTGGCCCTGGTGACCAGGGGGACTGTACTACTGGGCCCCACAAGACACCTTCTACATAGGACCACTCTTCCAGTACTGCGAGATCCACCTAACACACAGAAACAGACAGTCTTAGGCAAAAGGAGGAGACACAAAAATATCTTCCAAATTAGAAAACAAGACAGAACTCCAAGGAAAGAACTAAAGGAAATGGAGATGAGCAACCTGGTTCCAAGCAATGGTCATAAGGGTGCTCCTCAGACTCAGGAGATGAATGGAAAAACACAATGAGAACTTCAACAAAGAGACAAAAAATGTTTTTTAAAAATCAGAACTGAGGAATACAATAAATTAAAGGAAAAATATACTAGAGAATATCAACAGCAGATATGAGGCAGGATAACGGGTCAGCAACATGGAAGACAAAGTAGTGGAAATCACCTAATTGGAAAACAAATAAATTAATAAATTTTTTAAATGAGGAGAATTTAAGGGACCTGTGGGACAAAATCAGGCATCCTGATTTGCATTACAGCGTCCCAGGAGGAGAGAAAAGGGCACAAAACCTATTCAAAGAAATAAAGGACAAAAACTTCCCTAACCTGACAAAGGGAACAGGCATCCAAGTCCAGGAAGCACATGGAACATTCTCTAGGATAGACCACATTATGCCACAAGACAATTCTCAATTAATTTAAGAATAAAATAATATGAAGCGCACATTATGCCACAAGACAATTCTCAATTAATTTAAGAATAAAATAAAAGAAGTGTCTTCTTAGACCACAGTCATATGAAACTAGAAACCAATTACAAGAAGGAAACTGGGAAAAGCACAAACACGTGGAGGCTAAACAACATGCTACTTAACAATTAATGGGTCAACAAAGAAATCAAAGAAAAATAAAAAATACCTTGAGACAAGTGAAAATGGAAACACAACATTTTAAAATCTGTGGGACACAGGAAAAGCAGTTCTAAGATTGAAGTTCATAGCAATACAGGCTGACCTCAAGAAATAAGAAAAGTCTCAAATAACAAATCTAACCTTACACCTAAAGGAACTAAAAAATAAAGAAAAAAAGGCCAAAAGTTATTAGAAAGAGGGATATAATAAAGACCAGAGCAGAAATAAATGTAATAGAGACTTTAAAAAAAAATAGAAAAGTTCAATGAAAATAGAACTGGGGTTTTTGAAAAGATAAACAAAATTGATAAACCTTTAGCCAGAATCATAATGAAAAAGAGAGAAAGGGCTCAAATAAATAAAACAGGAAATGAAAATGGGAAAGTTTCAACTAACACCACAGAAATACAAGGAATCATGAGATTACCACAATTATACTGTCACTATTTGCAGGTGACATGATACTATACATAGAAAACCCTAAAAACTCCACCAAAAACTATTAGAACGAAAAAATGAATTCAGTAAAGTTTCAAAATACAAAATTAATAAGTGAGTTGTGTTTTCATACATTAATAACAAACCATTAGAAAGAGCAGTCAAGAAAAAAATCCCATTTACAATTGCATTGAAAATAATGAAATACATAGGAATAAATTTAACCAAGGAGGTGAAAGATCTATACACTGAAAACTAAAAGGTATTGAAAAAACTGAGGACACACAAATAAATGAAAGAATATGCCATGCTCATTGAAAGAATCAGTACTGTTAAGTGTCCGTACCACCCAAAGCAATCCACAGGGTTAATGCAATCCCTATCAAAATACCAGTGGCATTTTTCACAGGACTAGAACAAATAACCCTAAAATTTATATGGAGCACAAATGATCTCAAATAGCTAACGCAATCTGGAAAAAGGAGAACTTGGAGGTGTCATACTCAATGATTTCAAACTATACTACAAAGCTATAGTAACCAAAACAGTATGATACTGGCACAAAAGTAGCATATAAAACAATGGAACAGAATAAATAGCTCAGAAATAAACCAACTCTCACATGGTCAACTAATCTATGACAAAGGACGCAAGAAGATACAATGGGGAAAAGACAGTCTATTCTATAAATGGTGTGGAGAAAACTGGACAGCTACATGTAAAAATTTGAAACTGGACCACTTTCTTACACTACATACAAAAACAAATTCAAAAGGAATTAAAGACTTAACTGTAAGACCAGACACCATAAAACTCCTAGAAGAAAAATTAAGTAGTAAACTCTTTGACATCAGTCTTACCAATAATTTTTTAGATATGTCTCCCCAAGCAAGGGCAACAAAACCAAAATAAAGTAAATGAGATTACATTAAACTAAAAAGATTTTGCACAGGGAAGTAAACCATCAACAAAATGAAAAGGCAACCCACTGAATGGAAGAAGATATTTGCAACTGACACATACAACAAGGGTTTAATATCCAAAATATATAATGAACTCATACAACTCAACATAAAAAAAACCAAACCAAAAAAAAAAAAAAAAACCTGATTTAAAAATAGACAGAGGACCTGAATAGACAGTTTCCCAAAGAAGACATATAGTTGGCCAACAGACACATGAAAAGATGCTCAACATCCCTAACCATCAGAGAAATGGAAATCAAATCACAAGAAGGTATCACCTCTCACCTGTCAGGTTGGCTATTATCAAAAAAACAATAAGTGTTCACTAGAATGTGGAGAAAAGGCAACCCTCATGCATTGTTGGTGGGAATGCAGATTGGTGCAGTCACTATGGAAAACAGTATGGAGTTTCCTTTAAAAATTAAAACTAGAACTACCATATGACCCAGCAATTCCACTTCTGGGTATCTGTCCAAAAAAAAACCAAAAAATACTAACTCAAAAAAAAATGTATGCACTACTATGTTCATTGCCACATTACTTGAAATAGCTTAGATATGGAAGCAACCTAAGCATCCATTGATAGATGAGTGGATAAAGAAGATGTGATACACAAAGACACACACACACAATGGAATATTACTCAGCCATAAAAAAGAATGAAATCTTACATTTGTGACATGACTAGAGAATTACGCTAAGTGAATTAAGTCAGAGAAAGACAAATACTTTATGATTTCTTTAATATGTGGAATCTAAAAAGCAAAATAAACCAACAAAACAAAAAGAGGCTCATAGACACAGAGAACAAACCAATGGTTGCCAGAGGGGAGGGGGCGGAGAGAAGACTGAGAAACATGAAGGAGAATAAAAGGTATAAAATCAGTAAGTCGCAGGGATGGAATATGCAACATGGGGAACACACAGCAAAAGCAACCGTGTAGGGCATAAGATGGTTACTAGACTTATTGTGGTGCTCACTTTATTAGGCATATAAATGCTGAGCGAACATGTTGTATAGCTGAAACTAACATATTGAGTATGTTTTAATTTTAAAAACTTTTTAAGGAAAGAATAACAGTGAAGAAGATAATACTCCAGTGACCATTTGATCATTTCTTCTTCTTCCACTGTGTACTTTTTAGGGTTGTTTGATTTTTTTTACAGTGACTATGTTTTGCTTTTCATATAAAAACAACAAAACTAAGTTTGAACATTTTGTAAAGCTGTCAAGAAGAGTGCAAAAAACTTGACCCCCAAAATACTCAACCCACGGTTATGCTACATTATTCACATGGTACAGATTTCACAGATATAATTAAGATTACTAATTGATTTTAATAAACAGAAATCAATCAGACAGAGAAAGACAAATAACATATGATTTCATTTATATGTGGAATCTAAAAAAACAAAATAAACAAAGAAAACAGAAACTCAGATACA